TCTAGGAGTTGAAGTCCACCCCATCTGAAGTCCACCCGTCTCTAGGAGTTGAAGTCCACCCCATCTGAAGTCCACCCGTCTCAATGCTGGGAGTTGAAGTCCACCCATCTCAAAGTGGCCAAGGTTGAGAAACACTGCCCTATAGCATGGAGGGGATTCTCCAGAGCACTAGGCGCCCATGGGTTACTTCTTAGTGTGCTCCATACCTGTTTCCTCTCACTTGATGTATGATATGAGACATGATGCCCATGTCTGCTTCCATCCTGTGTTGCAATAGGCATATGTCGACATTTATTCTCTATATATTTGGGGAGGGGGATCTCAGCTCGGCGGCAGCCATAAGAGGAAGGTTTTTTGCCCCGGCGCTTCCTCTTCCCAGCCTCCCTCTCCAACTGTTTTTCTGTTAAGCGCTGCATTTCCTGTTTTGAGCCTTTCTAACTTGGACACGATTGCGCAAAAGGGGCGCCAGCTCAGCAGGAACATTTCTGTTTCCTCTTGTCTGCGAAGCTTTGCGAGAGCCCTGTTGGTTTGCCCCCCACGCAAAGAGGGAAATGCACAGAGGAGAGACGGAGAGGGAAACAGTGGGTTTTCTGCTAGGAATGGACATCAACGGGTCCCTGCAGAGCTTTTAAATTTAAATTTTAAATGCAAAGCCTGGAGCCCTTTAAGGATTCCCAGGGTGGCTTCAGGCATCACATTTCAGACAAGCTAATGAATCTTTCTCAGAGGTAGGGGACATTTGCTTGGGGGTCTGATCTCTTAGATAGCTTCCAGAAGGACAAATGGGTGCCTGTGCATAATTCTTTTAATTTATTACCTGGGTTAATGCATCATGTTGAGCCATGGTGGGCTTAAGCCAGTTTTTGTGGATTAAGCCACGATGCTGAGCTTACACAACACACTAAGCTGTAAATGGTGGCTTATGAGCCACCACGGCTGGATTCACAGAGCCTTTTCATCGAATCTAACCCAACCATCATTATGGTGGGCTGTGTGACTGGGAACTTAGCTATTCTGTCAACAGCTTAGATCGAAAGAGCAGGTCACACTTAACAGAGGCTTCCTGTTTTAATCTTAACATCAATTTGAGGCAGGAATTAATCGTTTGCGCTTAGATTCCAGGAGAAATGGCATTTTCTTGTGAAAAAAAAAAAATAACATGGGCCTGCTGTATCAGAGGTTGGCTTCTGTGTCATCTGCCGGCAATTCTCCCAGCTTGCAATGTTGTGCTAAGAGGGTGTTTATGAGCTCATAATATTGTGCTAGGATAACTTTTTAAAATATATGTATTTTTATTAGACACTTAAGAGAAAATAAATAGACAGGAAAGGAAAAGGCACAAAAGGAGGGGATGAAAGAATGAGATACTCATGAGTAAACAAGGGGTGTACAAATGTCTTAAAGACTATAGTTTTCCAGTGTATCAATATATCATTAATGGATTGCGAATATATTATACTGTTTTAAAAGCCTGAAAATCACTATTATTCAAATCTCTAACATTCCACCCCTTAGGATGGGGGGCGGGGAAGTGATGTCATGAGCCTCATGACATCATTCCCTTGATGACATCATGGCTTCTAACGTGTTGGGTTTCAATTCCCAGTCTCCTTCGCCAGTCACGATCTGGGACCATTGCAGATGTTTATGTATTAGACATAGATAACCACCCATTCTAAAAACACAACTCTGGGCGGCTCACCACAACTCTATAAACATCATAAAATAATAGAAACAGAAACAGAAACTTGGCACCACAACCAATCTTTCATGCACACCTTCCAGCTTCGCCTTCACACTGTCCCAGCCCTTGGGGGAAGTTCAGCGTGTCTCAGTGTTGGCTGGGGGGATTCTGGGAGTTGAAGTCCACCCATCTTCAAGGGGCTGAGATTGAGAAACACTGCTCTATCTGGAAGGCAGATTTCCACGCGTGGGAGTGTACAAAGAACTAATCGTGCCAGAGCCATACATCGCCAAAAGATGGTGTGTTGGTGGCCAAGAGCATAGGCAAAGCATTCAGCTATGCACTGCACCTCTGGCTAATCCCTCCATGCCCTGCGTTGCGTGATTGCGGCAAGAAGGAACAAGCTTCAGCCTTGGCTTCCTTGTTCCCTGTGGTGGCGCAAGAGCTGCACTGCAAAGGGTGGAGGACTGAGTTTCTGTTGATCCGTCTCAGGTGGACCCTGTTTGCGCACAGGCTACCAGAGGTCAGCCAGTCTGCAGACGGGATGTTTTCGGTGCTCCCTGGCCCCGAGCCAAATAGGTCATTGCCTTCCGGGCTGCTGTTTTCGTTCCCTTGGACGTCCAGGCCATTTATAAGGGCCTTGTTTCTTTCCTCTCCATATTCCACGAGGATCAGATTTAACCTCAGGTTACAGCCTTAACGGAGGGTCACTGAACTCCGCTAATTTCTAGAAAATAGCGAGGGAGTGCCAACGCCGTCTCGCCGATCACCAGCGCTGCGAGGAATTGCACTCTGCCAATTAGCTGTGCCCTCAAAGGGTCATAAACAGATTTTAATTGCACCCTCCCCAATAATGGAAGAGGCAGTAACATGGTGATAGATTTACAGATTATAACTTGGGTTATAATCACCGGGCAAAAAAAGGCATCGACTGCCACCGAGCAGGAAGCTGTCTTTGTGGTCTAAAAGAGCCGGCACCAGCATCACGTCTGAATTTTCCCCAGATATGATGCTCCTGGCCTGGTCTCCCTTGTGAGTGGGAAACAGGCCCTGTCAAAAAGGTTGGGATGAGTGTTGATGGGGGTCTTGCTGGCTCTTTTCCAGTACTGCTGACGTGGGTGAATTGTGCCAGCGTGCGCTGGGCTACACGTGTCCAGGACGTCTTCACCGCTGGGAAGCTGCTGGCCCTGGGCTTGATCATTGTCATGGGAGTTGTGCAGATCTGCAAAGGTGAGGCCAATCTGATCAGGCCATCTCCTGCTGCATTAGTGGGGAAAAGCTGCAAGGGTGTCCACTGAGGAACATGGACACCATTTTGGGCTAATTTGATTTATGAAATGGATTGGCTCTGTAGTTTCCTGCCCATGGGGAAGCCCTAAGAGTGGGAGATACACCTGGTTTGAGAACAGGGATAAAGAGAAGAGACCCTGAGATGGCTAAAGATGTATTCTTTTGTGTGTCCTTGATGTAGGTGAGTACTTCTGGCTGGAGCCCAAACACGCCTTCGAGTTCTTCCAAACTCCAGACATTGGACTGGTGGCGCTGGCCTTTTTACAGGGGTCGTTTGCCTACGGGGGCTGGAACTTCCTCAACTATGTCACCGAAGAGTTGGTGGACCCTTACAAGTGAGTGAGAGCCTCTCCTGGTGGTGTGGGAGGTGGAGAAGGCCCACCTTGATCTTGAGTCTACCTGCTTCCACCTCAACTCTTTCTCTCTTCCACAGGAACTTGCCTCGAGCCATTTTTATCTCCATTCCCCTGGTTACCTTTGTCTACGTCTTTGCCAATGTGGCCTATGTCACTGCCATGTCACCCCAGGAGCTCCTGGCCTCCAATGCTGTTGCAGTGGTGAGGCTCCATTCATGAGGTTCAAATTCCCCTTTGGTTCCAAGTGAATTGATGCTTAACTACTTCTTGTTCCTTTCCCCACAGACATTTGGGGAGAAACTCTTAGGAGTCATGGCTTGGATCATGCCCATCTCTGTTGCCCTCTCCACCTTTGGGGGAGTCAACGGCTCCCTCTTCACTTCCTCCAGGTGAGCGTTCCTGACCTCCAACTAACAGTGTGGACTTCTCACTCTTGATCACAGTTCCATGTTTGGAAATCCCCAGACATCAGACGTTAACACTTGCTCATTCACCATTTTAGGTGCCACCACCTCAATACTTCAAATTCACACATTTTCACCCAAAACATGGGTGGGCTAGCTAACAATACAGAAGATAGAATTAGAAACGAAAATAACAACAGAATGAAATTTAACAGGGGTAAATGCCAAAGTCATGATGCAGAAAGCAGGAAATCGGGGGAACAAACAGAGTATGTAGGAAAAGGATCTTGGAACTGTCCATCACAAGCTGACGATGAATTTGCAGCAGGAAGGGACTGCTAAACAAGCAACGTCTTCTGAATGCATCCACAGAGATATAGTTTCAAATGATAGATTAGATGCTCCGAGCACATCTCAAGTACTGTGCTCAACTCTGGGAGAAGCTGGAACATGTTCATGTAGTTTTCTTGGCAGCAATGCAGAAGTGACTTGCCATTCCCAAAGCCTTCTTTGGGGACCTTTATTTTTTTAACCTCTGCAGTCTAGCCTTCAGCCATGACTGATCCCTACAGAACCCAAGGAGTCAAGCCTTCTCTGTTGCAGCCCCTCCTTCTGTGGAATCACTTCCGGCCTGAGATCAGAGTAGCCCCCACTCTTAAGAAAGCCTTGGAAGGGGATCTAGGATAGGTTAGAACTTCCACCCTGGTCTGTGGTTGAATGTTCAGTACAGGATCCACTACAGCACTGTTTCTCAACCTTGGCCACTTTAAGGTGGGTGGACTTCAACTCCCAGAATTCCCCAGCCA